ACAGAATACTTCACTTATGACACTTATGGTCACTAAATATGTGGGGGCTTTTCCCTTACCAAATAGTTCTCTGTGACACCAGCTGGGTGTCCTTCACTTTAACTCAGTCTATCTGGAGATATTGTCAAATCCCTGAGATTAAGGACTCAGTCCTGTGAGACTGCTCCTATACCACTTCAGATGCCAATTGCAAGTAGTAGGTCCCCAAGTTACGCTTTCCATCAGATTTGGCTACAAATTGGAGGTTCCCATGACCTCCATCTTTGGGTTCAATTAATTTGCTAGAGCAGCTCACAGAACTCAAGGAAACACTTAATGTTTACCAGTTTATTAAAGGATACAGATGAACAGCCAGATGGAGAGATACATAGAGCGAGATCTGAGAGGATCTCAAGCATGGGAACTTCTATGTCCCTGGAGTTGAGGTGTGTCACCCTTGCAGTGTAGATGTGTTCTCCAAACTGGAAGCTCTCTGAACCCTATACTTTTGGGATTTTTATGGAGGCTTCATCACACAGGCATGAGCAATTACTAACTCTGTTTCTAGCCTCTCTCCTCTCTGGAGAATAGGAGGTAGGGCTGAAAATTCCAAGCTTCTAGTTATGGCTTGGTCTTTCTTGTGACCAGCCCCCATCCAGGAGCCCACCCAGAGTTGCCTCAGAACAAAAGATGCTTCTGGTGCTTTATCATTTAGGAATTTACAGGGGTTTTAGGAGCCCTTGGGTCAAGGACAATGTCTAAGACCAAATATTAGAATAAGAGATGTCCTTAATGCTCTTATTACTTAGAAAATTACAAAGGTTTTAGGAGCTGTGTGCCAGGAACCAGGAGCAGAGACCAATATATATTATTTTCTATTATCTCACACCATTTTATTGCTGGGTGTTTGTGTCAGACATTGAATTTAGCATTTTATTTACATTACCCTAATTAATCCTTACAGAAGCAAACATCTTTTCCAAGTCACTATTTTTTGTCTTGTTTAACTTTAATAGTTTTCTAAATTATCTCCTTCCTTCCATTTTTGCCCACCCTCTATAATCCATTT